CTCATAAAGAAAGATTTGTTTTTAATTCCACAACTCAGTGAAGCACTGCAAAATCAATATTTCTCATATGAAAGTGAGTAAGATATATTACAGTTGTTCAACTCAGTAGACATAAAGTTCAGTTTTTTCACACACCTTAATTTAACCACTACATAAATACTTTTGGTGAATTCCAGAAGGTCAAGTGAGGTCAGGAAAATCTTGATCTATGTGTTTAAAAAAAAAAAAGACGTACCACCTAATGACACATCATTAATCGATGTTATTGACTCACTCTCACACTTCTTTTTTCTTAATGGCTTCAACCAAGGCACTGGAATGTAAAATAAGTAAGAAGTCAGTGAAAAGAAGACTTTTAGAAAACTGGTGAATGAGGCAGCACTGTGTGGATGTAGCTGCACAGAAGAAGGTTGGAGTCTGTCAGAGAGGACTGAATGGATGTTTCTTGGCCTTGTCACAATTATTGCTCTGAGATCAAATCACTCTGCAGCCCAGCTCATAGAAAACAACCACCAAAGTTACGTCAATGTAAAAAGGGTCATACTGCCATCCAGTGGACAGGAACCAAAGGGCTTCAAACACCTCCTTGAAAGGATGGCCAAGACTGATTGAATCAAGTTGACTACACCAGGTCTGTTGGGGCAGAGCGTGGAGGATTTTTCACTCTGTCCCCCATGGTGAGGAACTCGGTCCAGTTGTTGCGTAGACCTCTGGAGTACACTCCAGTGTCCACAACAAGTCCCCATAATGCCCTGTGAGCAGTCTTCTCTTTTAGGGCTATGCGCGCCTCCCGCTCTGTGACATTGTAGCTGACGTTGATGACCTGCACCAGCAGCAGGTGGAGCAGCCCCGCAGTCACAATGCTGCTGTACCAGGCACAGGTGAAGCAAAGTGCAGAACTGGAAAAAAAAACAAGGAGACGAGATGATAAAAAACCTGCAGCAACAAAACGATGAATCACAATGCTGCCAACATGTTTTAAGCATCCAAGGTTATTACTCTTTGTATAATTCCTGAGTGGGCGGTGCGGGTTGTGGGATTTTAGTAATCAAAAACAGTTATGAAGTCTTTGTAATATCATTTACATGCATCTATTTTGGACAGATAATCCCACATGGTTACTAAATGTTTTAGCCGTTTAAATTATTTAATTAAAAATAAATGCTCAATCTGTAATTGAAAATCTGAGCTGCCTTAATTTTGGATGGACAAAGCAGGTTTTGGGATGTATTTTTGGTTGGATTACACAAAACATAATTAGGATTATTTTCTAACACTAGAAGAGGATATAGGATAATTTTTCCCCACACAAGACAAAGGAAACCACCTTGGACCAAGGTCACATCTCCTGCGGAAGTTATGTTAGCATTCATGTCTACTTTCCTAGAAGCATCGGCATGGGTAAAAATTACACAAATGATGATATTAATTAGCGGCATCACAGTTGATGATGCAGGGGACAGCCTGCAGATTACACCAATTTAGATCCATGTCTTTGCCAAGTTTATGAGATTTATGTCACTGTGGAATTTGTGATGATTTGATAAGAATATTCAAACTGAACTGCTAAACAATAACTGATGATGCTGTCACACAGCTGCTCTCATGAATTTAAGGTGTTTTTTTCCAGTACCTGTACTGGTCGTAAACCCCAGGGCAGTACAACAGAGAGGTCAGGAGGTGTTGTCTCGGACACACACTCTGCAGCACCAGGCTGATCCCATACACAGATGTCAGGAGGAAGGAGACGAGTGTGAGAAGGAAGCTGCGATGGTTGGCCTGCCCTACGCAGCTGTTGATCCTAAACCAGGTGAGTTTACAAAAACACAGACATTGCAGACTTGGACACAGTAATGTATCAGGTAGGAAACGTAATAAAAATAGAATCACTCGTAACAACCAGTAATAACATCCCTGAAAGACGGAGCAAATTTAAATGGACCCACCAGACACAATGATGGTCCAGACGCAGCACGCAGACGCCACAGATCCGACAATGTCCTGTCCTGGGAGGCCGCTCCACCTTGCACACTGAACACCAGTTCTTACTGTCCTTCACCGACTTATCTGATGGTGCAGCCCTATTGGACACTGTCATGGCCACATCCTGCCTCCCACTGCTGACAGCTGGGTCACTCTCGGCTTGAAGACCATAATATGTCACTGTACTGTGGACTGAGTCTGAATTCGGCGATATAATGCCCGGGTCTCTCTTGGAGTGGATCAGAGTTGCCAGCGTAAGGATAACGCCCAGAGTGATCACTGACAGCTGGATGGGGCCGATGTCCCCGCGGGGCAAAACCTCAGTGATGAACAGGTAGTACATGTAGGCCAGTGAGAAGAGAGCCAGGCTCAGGAAGAACAAGGTCTGTCCTTTTTTGCGGTGGGTGAAGTAGTAGTACCACAACACCAGCACGGGCAGAGCCGTCAGAACCACTATGCCCAGCAGGAAGTGAATGGAAGCGATGTGTAACAGGACAGGAAGGAGAATGAGAGGAGGGACAATGGACAGGTCCACCTTCTGGGCTCCACCCCACAGCCATGGTACACGTATCCTGTCGGAGACCACTGCTGTTACACGAGACAGGGATTCAGGTTTCTGAGACTCCTTCTTTAGAAACCTAGGAATAAAAATAATATAAGGGCTGGATTAACTACAAGACGTAAAAACTATTTTGGAGACAGAGTTGTAGAAGACAGAGAAAAGGGATTGGCAAAAGATAGGCTCAAAAACCTCTAGTAACGTGACAGTCTTCAGCTTGTTAAAATATGTCACATTTGCAGGTGGATTAACACATACTTTCACATTTCTCTATAATAATTGTGAGTTACACTCGTGTAATTTTAACCACATTAGCAAATCTGAAAAAACAAGAAACAAAAACCCAAACACAGTCCCACCATTTATTTCAAGAAGCCAACTACAAGACGTAAAAACTATTTTGGATTTAGCAAATCTGAAAAAACAAGAAACACAAAATAAACTCTGATGTCATCAATCACACTGCTGCTTTGATGGTTCTCACTTTGTGTGTCACACACTCTTCATGTTGAAGTGTATGTGACGAGTATTTGTTTATAAAGATGGATGAGGTGACAGATTTGAAAAATGATACCAAAACATCCTGGTCACATAGTGGATTTCTGCAGTATAAGCCATCTCCTCCTTTGTCTTTGTGTATGAACATTGTCATGGGTCCAATCAACTGGATAGACAATAGTTTTATACCAACATCTTACTGAAATAATTGGACATATTTGAGATTTTAAACTTGGGATTAAAACATGAAAATGCTCAAACTGGTCTTCATATAAACCTTTACTCAGATTATGGCCTTGGTTGCCGTTAATAGCACAATTAGTGTTCATCCAAATAAGGACTTGAATTTCTCACTCTAATGTTGTGACAACCATTTCCAGCTTCATGATATTTCTGACCAGGAAGGAAAATTGAAATAGAGAAGGAATTATTTATAGCAGCCTGGCAGCTTTTGCAGATAGTTGCCTCTCACCTGTCACAGGCTTCGTCCAGGTCCTCACAGTCGCAGCAGCAGGCGGCTACATGGCTGCGCTCTCCGTGACTGTTTATATACTCACAGCAGCACAGGCTCTCGTCTTCTTCGTGGACCTTGTTTGCTCTTTTCTTCATGACCAACAGCTGCGCAGCCTATCAGACGCTGAAGCTGAAATTTACACATTCATTACAGGAGGCTTACGTAGTCTTCTATTATTGAGCAGAGAGAGGAGGTAAGCAGAGGGATTTAAAAATATCTGCAGAAATCCCACTCTGCTGAAGTGACAGACTGATTTCCAGCATGACTTTTTTTAACACTGCAGACTCTGCTTATTTGCTCCTACCTGGTCCATATCCCAGCCTCACATCTGTCATGACTTACAGCACAGTGAATACTGGCTGCCTTGTTTAGACAGCACAGCTGGAGGTCAGCAGTGGTGTTAGTGGAGCAACATTTATAATTAACTTTTAGCATCTCCTCCATCACTGGGAGGTGAAACTGACAGATCATTCCACCATTATAATTACACTTCTCTCGTCTGTGTGATTTCTCTTTTGTCGATAAGACTATGACAGCAACGTGTACCCGGGAAAGAGACGACAGACAGGACCACATGCTGATTGATGGGACTTTGTACCAGCCTAACAACACGTCTCCTCCCTGACAGAAAGACAGAATAACACTGCTGCAAGGATTCATGGTATGACTGTGTGCACTCAGCACTTTTCTAAGCTACTGTCATACACCGGACAGACTTTTCTGCTCTGCAGTACTTTATAATTGGAGCTGCTTAAAGGGGAAGTGTAAAAAAAGATATTACAGGAAAAAGAATTGCATAAGAATTTGCACCAGATTATAGTTGTATATAGGTAGAGTAATAGTCATAATAATATTATTCCAGTTTATTGTAGTACTCAATAAAGATATTAGTTAACAAAATATTATTACACAAATTTAAGGAGAGTTGTTTTTATATTCTGGCTAAAACTGTTGGCTTTTATATGAATGAAATCCTTAGTTACATTCAAAATGTTTGGCTCAGCATTTGTAGAAGGTATGTTGTCTTCTAACAAGGACAGAGTTTAGTCCCTGACTCTGCTGCTTTATATGCTGATGTGTCCTTGGGCAGTTCTGTTCTTTCAAACTGCATTTAAAACTGTGTGAGCAGCAAGTTAAAACATATAGCTATGTTTTAAAGAAGTGATTA